TACCTCCTCAACTTCGAGCAGACCACCAATACCCTGCTGTCTGCTGGTGGTTTGGCTTCCGCACCTGCATTGGGCTCGCCCTCTGATCCACCACCACCACACTCGAGTTTTTACGTACAGGCTGTCGCCTGTACCTTTCAACTTTACCTTTGTCTTGGTGGTCATATCTTGTTTTGCCTCCCAAACCGGCATTCCGAGGACCACCCCCGACACAATACCGGCTCTGGCTCTGTTCCGACCCGGCTAATAAAGGCCTTTCTGTCTCCGCTCCGTGGCCGGTGGCTTCCAGCCCTCGAGTCAAGTTCCGATCGCGACGTGATATTTTCTTTTTCTTCCCGCTCACACAGAGAGTGCATCAGCGCACTGCTATAGCATGCCCGCTCAACTAAACGGGTCCATGACCGCCAGCATCCCCATTCGAATACCCGGCGACCAGGCCCAGGCTCAAACTCAACCTGCTGTTTTTTACAAGCAGCACAAGCATTCCAGATCCTCTTATTCCGATTCTTCCCCGCTCGCAAATTCAAGGAACAATTCTTTAACTTTCCGTCCGTATAAGAGGCTCATGTCAAACCCAGACAAGACGATCGCTGTCATCAACGCCAGCGGGCGACAAGCTGCGTCTTTCATTCGCGTTGCTACTGCCGTTGGTTATCATGTGCGCGCTCAGCTGAGAAATCTCGACGGTGTCGTCGCTGCTGAAGTTTCGGGGAATCCTAATGTTACCGTATTTGTTGGCGAGCTCTACACAAGACATCAGCCCTCTGAAGCAAATCGCGATGTTACCAAGCACGGCCCGCTGGCCGGTGTCGGCGTCAACTACGACTTGATCACAAGTCTGTTCCGCGGCGCACAACTTGCCTTCATAAATACAACTTTTTACGGCGACGAGATTCAAATCGGAAAGGCCCTAGCCGATGCCGCTAAGCGCGCAGGAATTCAACACTATGTGTACTCATCCATGCCCGATCATGGTGCTTACAACCCCGAATGGCCCTCATTGCCCCTCTGGGCTGCCAAGCATGAGGTTGAGCAGTATGTGCGCAAACTGAGAATACCAGCCACTTTTGTGTACACTGGTATCTACAACAACAATTTCACCTCCCTTCAGTATCCCCTTTTCTGCATGGATCTGCAAAAGGACGGCTCGTTCAAATGGCAAGCACCTTTTCATCCTGACGCCAAGCTACCCTGGTTAGATGCCGAGCACGATGTTGGTCCTGCGGTTCTGCAAATCTTCAAGGATGGACCAAGCAAATGGAACGGGGAGCGCATCGCACTTGCATATGAATACTTGACACCCAAGGAGGTGTGTCGACTTTTCTCGAAAGGAGTTGGTCGTCCTGTGCGCTATGTGCGAGGTCCCATTGAAATCAAGGTTCGAATCCCTGAAGGCTACCGGGAACAGCTCGTCGGTCTGGAGAAACTGTTCGACCCGAATCAGAAGGATCCTCGAAAACAGCCTCCTTACTTCGGCGACCCTAAGGTCGAAGTCAGCTGCCCTAGTGAAGCCTTGGAGTTGTGGGAAGGCCCTCGAGGTATCGAAGAATACGCGCGTGAGATGTTCCCCATAGAAGAGGAAGCAAATGGTCTCACATGGATGCTGGACGATGATGCGAGCGACGATGAGGAGGTGCACAACACAGCAACCCATGTCGAGCAACTGAGAATCCACGACGGTGATGACGATAGCGACGACGATAATGACGAGGGTCTTGTCATAAAAGGCCGTAAGCGCGACGAGGAAGAGTGGTTAGCATAATGGAAACCCATGGCGTCTGGATCTTGGCTAAAATACGACATCAAAAAGCAGGAAAGGGGTTAAAAAAGAAGGGTTAATCCAGCGGAATCTAGAAGCCCAGTCCTGAGGCAGATTACGGAACGGAGCAGACCTGGCGACGCGGCATTGCATTTCGGCAGGAGTTGTGTTTTTGGAGAGGCGTCCCTACCGGCGTGGGTTTGGTCTAGCAACCTAAACGATTTTATTATGACTTGTCAATGGATGAAATAAAAGTAACGAATTACCTCTGCCCTTGTTTCTGTTGTGTGATGTGCCTGTTTTGTGTATAAGGTAGCAATTATTGATGTGCGAGTGATGCTCGTGGAACTCGGCGAGACTGAGATCCACCAGCAGACTTGTTGGAAGTCTCTTCCTTCAAGGCCAGCATGTATCTAAATGATAGATGCTTGGCTCAAATGTCTGAGTACTCTTAAGTAAAACACAGATCCAACGAAGAGCTGGCAAAAGAGGTGGAACGATAGCATGTAGAGTGAACGTGGATGACAGATGACTGACCTGGACTGAGCTGTAATGAAACAGGGACTTCAGCTGCTTCTTATACGCGACTAGAGCCATGGGAATACTAGATTAATAAACGACCACCTCGCCATGGATAACACCACCATGTTTATCTGTCCCCTTACACCAAGATGCTGGTTTGTCATAACAAGGTTTAACTGTATATCATGGCAACGCCATTTACCACCCCCGCGTATCCGCCCTCCGTACCGTTGAATGTGGCTCCCATGTAAGAGTGCGTGGGGTTATGCTTCTTCTCGAGAAATTTGTTTTGTATGTTATGACATGTGGCACTTCCATGCTTTCCTGGTGAAGTTCAGATCACAGCGTAAGAATGACATAAGGACAAGAATTGCTACATTTAGTCCCCCGGAATCACAAACTCGCCAAGGTTCTCTCCACGGCGGTCGAGTTACACGCCGCGTGGGGGATAAATCCGGGGTGACAAGGGGATGAACTTTCCGTTATCTAGCATGATTAGGGGCATTGTAAGAGAGGGTGGTCAGGGTGTTATCTGTGATGCCTCTCCTTATCTCCCAGGACTCTGAACCTAAGATCAAACGAAACTCTTCAACAACGAAACAATTAAAGTAAACTTATACTGAGTTGAAGTACAATCAATAGGGAGTTCCGTTCTATACATGTCAAACAATTGTGGCAGCGATCACCTCCAAAGAATTGTTCTATCCACTCTAATCGTGACTCCAGGTGCTCGGACATAGGGATATCACATGCCTCACCCGCAGCTGATAAGATACACAATTTGATACAATATTTCCAAGATGCCGCGGAGCTGAAGCCGGAGATCCAAAGGTTCCAATGTATATCTCGAAGCTTGATCAGAAGTGTCTAGGGCCGTTGAGGGCTAATTGAGACTCTCTGATACTACCCAGGCGAGAGGATGACTGCAGCGAATGTTGTAAGAGTCTTATCACCGACAGAGTTTTGAGCTCGAGATACTGATCCTTACTGGCTATCCACAATGATGAAACTACTGTTCTCTTTTGAGTCAGGCTTATGTCTCCCAAAACTGTATGTCCTATATCTGTACCACAGTCAATACCATATATCACACATATTTGTACATTTCAAAAAGGAGAAACCAAGTTAAAGTCAAAATTATATCAATTGCTGCGCCCATCAGCTACGCTTGATGCTGGTATTGCAATATCCCTCGCCCCAGTTCCTCATCATAATAGAGATAAAAAAAAAAAGAGAAAAACAAAACAGAAAGCAAATAGCTTAAAGCAACGATATAACCCTTCCACCAATATGCTTGCTTCCATTGTCCGTCTAGCTTAACACGCGTGCTTCATGTCTACATCATATAGTTAGGAGCGCCGAGCTTGCGGCGGCTAAGGCCCTCATGGACAGCCTTGATCATATTATAGTGCTCCTCGAACTCATCACTGATGAGCTTGCACATAATTGTTCTGTTGTTGACCCGAAGGCCTTGGGGGATGTACGGGAAAGCGTCAGTTCCCGCTTGGGCGAACCGAACGATTCGCATGCGGGCGAGCGCGATGATCAGTTTCGTGTTATACTCCTCCACTCTGGCTCTCTCATTTCTATCTCAGTTCACGATGGCCGCTTCGATGGCCTAGAGCTTGATGAATCTTGCAGGGGTTTGGTGCTTCCTCCATCTTTCCAGACGAGGTTGAATTCTCTACCTTCAGCCTCATACTTGAACTCCACGCTTAGAAAAGCGGGAGCATTGGCTATACGGTGACTGTTGTCCTGCGCGGTCATCCCACGCTTGCGTTTGGAGGGTGTGGTGGGAAGATTGTCGGTGAAGTTACCGACATTAACTGAAGTCTGGCGCAGTTTCTTTGGGAGTAGCCGTGGCAAGAATGTGATATCATTGTTGGAATACCAGAGTATAGTTACTGGACGAGCGTCACACCATTCCTGGAGAAGATCATTGAAGCTGAACTACTCAGGCAGGGAGAAAGATTTTGGTTCGAAGACGGTTGTATGGTCGCCACGGTTGGCGGTGACTTCTTGGTCGTCACGCATCTGCTCTGCGCTGAGAGGAGCAGAAGGGGGCGGTTGGTTTGGCATGATGATGTTCCTTTGAAGAAAAATGGATCTTTTGCTTGAAGATTAGTCAAGTACCGATGCTGATCCATAAGACTTGCAGACTTACGGGGGTTTGCACGATGGTTTGAGACTGTGATAAGCTTTATTTCGATGTTGAAGTGAGTGAGATAGAGTCAGCTGGGAGCAGTGATATAAAACGAAACTTTGTGCGCGAGAATCACGAATAATGTCGAGGACGAACAAGAGAGAAAATAGTCATATTCGAGTTTATGTATCGTAATAGCATATAAGTAATGTTGAGCTATGCAAATGTGTTTTCTATTGTTGAAGTGGTTTCTATTTTTGAGTATGCTGGCAATAGGAACAATAGAACTAATGTGGGACCTCTTAATTGAACATTTGTGTAACCTCAGTAATCAGTTTACCTCGACGGTCGAGCCTCGGAGCTTCCATAGGTGGCGCATGAGAATTCCACGGGCACCTTGACCTTGTTTCGATTCCTCACGAGAGTAGATGGGGGACTAGACTTCACTGACTTTACCGATATTGGTCTCAATAGGGCCCTTCCTTTGGCACAAAACCAGAATTGAATGCCATCAAACAGAACTCTCCATTATGAGTAGTTGAGAGAAACCAATCAAGAGGACCACTGTTTTAACTGTGGTCGACCATTCGACAGTCTCAATGATGAGAGGAGATGGAAGGGCTTCTTTGAAGCCAGACGTTGCGCTGCTTGTTGGCTATTCCGATACAAGCACAGAGAGGAAAAGAATCCAGATCTCATCACCGATGCAAGGATGCACGAGGTTTGGGTCGGCTGGGGCAATCCTGATGTATGTGGAAACCCGGCTTGTCAAGAACCACGAACTCCTGCAAATGCAAAAACCTTTCGGTTCTAGGGCCAAGATATGCGCTGTGCGGGCTGCTACCTGCACTTGAGGACACGAAAAACCGCAAAGACCTAATCACTGATGCACAAATGCATGAAGTCTGGGTGGCCCAGGGAAACCCAGATGTCTGCGGCAACTCGGCTTGTCAAGAGCCTCGACGCCCTGGTGCATGCCCTTGGGCATTCAGGTACTATGGCCCTGACTCTCGCTGTCAAGGCTGCTTAATTTACCGAAGGGCTCATGAAGGATCAGATCCAGTTAATCCGAGGAAGGGCATAAACGCAGGTTACTTGGTAAGATCCCAAATCGCTTGTGGGAATAACTGATAGCTAACCTGTGTGTCAAGCTCTACCGCCAACTTCACTCCCACATTCAGAATGTCAAACGTCGAAGACTCAAACACACCTATCACTTCGCACCAAGTAGTTACGGACACAGATGTCGTTGCGAGCCGTGCCCCCAGGCCATCATCCTACGGGAGAAAGACTATACATGAGTTGAGAAAGCAACTCCTGACGATTTGCTCCAGAAATGGTGTCGCTCGACCAGCAACAGAAGGACTCACTCAATTTATCTTAATCATACTTTAATTCACCTTTTCAAACGTGTTTTCAAGCGTTAGAATTGATTATGTATCATTTGGAGTGTCGGCGTGCACCGTTGTATAAACAAAAGATGGCTTGCACACGTCCCCAATGATAAGTCTCTGTGATTGAGGCGACTTGTTTTCTGGCAATGTAGAGGCGGATGATTGGTTGCGATCCTTTTGATAACGCACAGGCTGGTCTCTTTGGGTCTTTGTTGGTGTGTGACATCCTGTACGAAAGATAATATGGCATAACTCCGAGGACTATCTTTTTTCTGCATTCTAAACAAGGCATTAGTTTCCTATGTCGTCATAATTGCGGCATCCAGTTGAATGGGAGTGTGCTTTTGGTGGAATAGAGAGTGAATCTTGGGTTGAGTTAGCTTCTCAATCAGAGATGAGCCTTAGGGTAACAGAAGATTTAAGACTGCACAATAAGGAGCAAAAATAAACTGGTCAAAGAGTTTACTAAATTTATCCTAAATTATCCTAAATTATTCTAAGCATTTTTATTATATAGGATTAAAGTCTTAGGTTTTCTGCCATCCCCCAAACAAGTATCAGTAGAGATGACGAACACTTCACATTGCGAGCAGAGATGGTACTCTGCAGTTGCTGCTACGCATTACAACAAACCCCATACCATGTTTATTCACGGGTACACCCTATATAATCTTGATAACTTGACAGATACCCCGAGCTAATGTAAACAAGCATCTGCTGTGCATCCCCTGCGTCTGGTCTTACTCATCAACTCGCTTGTTCCCCAGAGGAGCCTCCTCGTCAGCAGTTGCACCAGCATGACCCTCAGGGAGGGCATTGAGATCATCCTCATGGATGTCAAGGTTGCGAAATTGCAGCCAGAAGCATGTCCCGGCTATGACGGCTAGAATTGCAACGACACCATAGTTCCAAACAAGAAGAGGATCGGCCGCAAGACCAACAAGAGCCTGTCCAAGGGCAGCTGAGAAAGCTGTCATGAAAAGTGCAACAGCCTGAACCATGGAACGCATGTTCTTGGGAGCCTTCGAGAAGGCATACTCAAGAGAAGTGATAGATGCGAACACTTCAGACAGTGCAATGAGAACATAACTACCGGTTTGAGCCCAAACATTGATTTCCACGACAGCGCAATCTTCACCAGAAGCATACTTCCCGCACTCGGACTTCTGGTAGATATAGTGCTGGACAACTGCAGCCCAGATCATGGCAGCAGCTCCAGTGAAGAAACCGGCCGTGATCTTCTTTATGGGGGTGAAGCGGAAACCAGCTTTTCTAAGGGCAGGGTAAATGAAGAAATCATTGAGTGGAATGAAAATTAAGAGAGCGAAAGGATTGAGATTCGAAAGAATGTCGTTGGGAACGCCATGGCGCTGCATCACGGCGGCCTGGGAGATGAGGTTATTGTTGACTAGTTACCTATGTTAGTCTTGACACAATTCATCTCAATAAAATAAGCAACTTACTCTGATTATAGCAGAGCCAGAAAATTGGGTACCAGCAGAAGACAGCGCATGCATTGAATCCTCGGCTGAGCTCATCGACCCAGGCGTCGTCAAAGGTCATCCATTTAGGACGGGTCTCGTGGCTGAAGTTTGAGGGCTTTACTTTCTCCCAAAAGTCATCTTTATGAAGGTTTCTCCATGTAGCAACTGGATTGATGCTCCAGCAGCCCTTCTGGGCCAGGAACCAAGTCTTAAGTGCCTGTCCCAGAACCGAGCCGCCAGGAGGCCTTCGCTCATACTTGTGGCGGTTGAACCACATCACGAGCGGACACAGACAGAGCATGAACGTTGGCAGTGTATAGGATAGCCAGAAGCCGATTTCCTTCTCCGCAAAGACCATCTACGTCGTGCGTTAGTATTAATTGTGACATCTGGAATCTTGGCCATCAACGCCAAGCCTCACCACCAAACACCAACAACCTCACTTTCGGGATGAACAACGCAAATTACTCACCGTTACCTGCCCTACCAAAGCCCCTACGTTGATACAGAAGTAAAACCAGCTTGTTTGTCTTAGTTTTGAAGTGTTTGTTGTGCTGGGAATACTCACAGATACACCCTTTCGATCGTCACAGCAGGGTCGACGATAACGCGTTCGCCAGACTTGAGAGTCTTAACATGCATGTACTGCTCGCCAAGCTGCTCAACAATGAGAGGATTGACGTTCGGTTTGAAGCCACCAGTTCCGAAACCAATGACAATGATAGCAATGATCATGGCGCCAAGGGCACCACCTTGATTGCCAATAACGGGGGGGATGGCAGACATAATCAGGATGATATGGCCGATAATATCGATCCCGAGGGCCCAACTGATGGTTTTATAACGACCCCAGTACTGGTCAGCAATGTAGGCTCCGAGAAGGGGCATAAAGTATTGCCAGAACTGGTTGAAGGTGGTGATTCCAGTCGAGGCGCGCTGACCCATTCCGAGAGCACCAGGTTGTTCAGGGTCGGCACCAGTGGTCGAGCCCTCGGGGAGCTTCTGCTGGATGAAATTGGTGACTTTATGAGTTAATATGACTGAACTTATGTTGTCGAGGCTGAGTGAAAACTTACACACAACGGTACAGCCATAGTATGAGAAACTATTAGTCAGTCATAACCAGTTAGACCAAGCCAAAACTCGGGGAATCACTTGCTAAGGCAGGGTTCTTACCGCTCACACAGCTCGATAAAGGCGATACTGAAAAGCTTCATAGGAATTTTATTGGGGACTCGGCGTAAAGTGTCCAGTTCTTCAGCAGTCGGAAACTGGCCATCTGGTGTGACACCACCAGCGGGGGTAACAGCTCCCGCATCTGCAGTGGCTGGACGAGGGTCGGTGGCGATAGAGGCTCTTTTCTCGGCAGAGATAGAAGCTCGCTTCTCGTCAAGGACTTCAGCGCGGAGACCGGCCACGGTGATGGGCTCGGCGAGACTGTCTCCTGCAGGCGCCATGGTTTTACGTATGCTGATCTTTGTCACCGCAAGAATGAGACAAGATAAAAGTCAATACAACAGCAATTTAGAAATCCTAGACAGAGACGTCCGTCGCGGGGAGAGGTGTTTTATATCTTTTGGAGTGTCGGACAATGCTACCATAATGGACCTTGTACACCGGGTAGCACCGAGTACGATCGACATCGAATAAGAGGCCAGAGGAAGGCAATGGGACAAAGCCAAGAAGCCAGATCTGACGAGAAAACGCGAGATATGCATCTAGAAAGTCAGGAGGATGTATCTCAACGCAAGGATGCAGTGAAAGAAGAAGGTCGCATTGCTACCTACTATAAAAGGCTTGATACCAGGAGCCTCACGACAAGGATGGGTTCCTTCTCATCCTGCCAAGATATCTCATGCAGCTTGATAGTCGAGACAGGATTGTACGGTCATCAAGGAAGCGATGTACATACTGTTGGTTGGGCATCTTACACCTCTGTATGTACAATCTCAATGCTCCATGTTAGGATGAGGTTGAACTTTTGCAGTATACTAGTCTCACATTTACTTGGCAGAGGGAAAAAAGTTCTTAGTAGCGTCTTTTAGCTTGCCAATGCAAGCCAATGTTCGGGAAATTTATTTCTGCATCTGGGCGATAGGGTCTGTGTAATACTTCAAAGCGCCACCTATGTATGGATATAAGACAATGTTTTGAAGCTCTACAGTCGCAATGCTTCGCCAATGTACTCACAAGAGTTGTGCGACTTTCACCTCTGGTCGCGAGAAGCGTTTTGCATAAGGAACAGAGTATCGAGGTATTGATGCCTTCGACTTGGCAAACCGTGTAGTCCTTATCTGTGGAATCCAAGTTAGGATATGGCTCCGACAATGCGACACAAAGGTTACGGAGCTAAACTCAGTATGCATGCGAAGCAGTCAAAACGTTCCTGATTAGCCAGCCTGCAGCCGTCCCGTGATAACGAGGATGCCAAGATAGACGCTGGGGGGCTAAGTGCTGGTGGTCGTTGCTGGATCTTGGCATAAGAAGATCCATGGAACTTTAAGAACTTTTGTAAGTCTGGGCATGATAAACACGGAATAGATAAGTAGGGGATGGCATGAGATTTACATGTTGTCAGTTTAAGGTTGCCTGGTCGGCGATGATAAGGGCTCGTACCAATGGGATACGAAAATTACTCCCTTGCATAGCACCGTACCAGTATGGCTGATGCTTAAAGAATTACTGATAAATGGTCCATCTTGGCCTCGGGCTAGGAGGTCGTGACAGAATGTTCCCCGAAGGAACAATGTAAGCCAGCGTCGTCGAATCAATATATCTCTTGAAACATACAAAGAACAACATCTCTTGTGCCCATCACCGAGTTCATCTACCGTATATTATCGGCCAGGCCCTACCACACGAGACCATCTCCAGCTCTCCGTTCTGTGGACAGCATGGCACCTTCCTAATCCCGCCTAATCGCCCCGCATTACGATAATCCTTGAATGCAGCTTAATTTAAGCTTCTTTTAACGAGCAATGATTCGCAGCAATTTGATTGGACAGGATCAATACACTCACCCATACAGAACTTTCTGATTGCCAAGTCGCCGCTTCCGACATTATGTTCAGAGAGACATACATTCCGGAGTAAGAGTTTGTTTAGCAAATGTGATTTGCTCAATATGGCAGTTGTGGTATGGAAAGGATGGTGAAGCGGATATCATCGGATAATTGATGCATCGACAGCCGGATGATATTACAACACAACAGCGGTTGGTTCTGGCAGCTTCGTCACGAGTACTTTACTCTCGAATCACTGCAAACATCATGAACTCCAAAATTCCACATGTCTTGCCAGGTTCGGTAGTCAGGACTGGACGCGTTAGATGCTACATCTCTTTTGTATGTACTGTACTTCGGTATGCCCTTGAAGAACGATCCCTTGAACTTACGGTGGATGACCACCATTTTCTCGAATTAGCTGTTTGTAACCAATGAGGTTTGATTAGCACAACCCTTCATGCCTCGAAGAATACCAACATTGCTACTCGACCTTGTTTCGCTGTCGTCATGAATAGGGATATCGATGTGTATTAATGCCATGATCTCTGTAGGAGTTTTACAGTGCCTTGCCTGGTTTGGACACCTAGCTAAGCTACTAGTAAAATAAACCCTCTCTCCTGTTTACAAGAACGGCAAGTAAGAAAATATAAGACTTCTATCTTAAAACATAAAAAGATTTAGGTAAATTTAGTATAGATTAGTAGATCTTTAGACTACATAGTCTTCTTACTCCCTGAGGGCCTCAGACTCCCGACCTGCAACCGGAGCGAAGACCTAACTGTTACCGCCGAGCTCCAGAAGTCATTTTTTGACAAAGTTTTCTATCTTTAGAGTTCCGACGACAACATGGTTATCATGCCAACACTACATGAAAAAAGGCTTAGGGAGACATTCTTCCCTGTCGGATATTTTGTCGAAAACCTCCCTCTTCCTCCCCCAAAACGAAAATGAGGCCAGATATTCCAAACAAACCCCCAGCGTATGGCCAAGGCTCCGGCCTTCATGAGCGTCAAGTTTGAGGCAAACTCCGAAGGCAAAGACTTCAAGCTCTCCTAGACAATAAAACAACAGCTCTGCTATCAGCGTGGAGTTCACCAAGTTCAGCCCTAAAACAGCCATTTCAAACTATAATAAATTTAAGAGAGAAAGAGTTGGAGGCTATAACACTAAACTCATCATTGCTCCTAGGCAGAGGCTGTTGCCCCCTGACATCCCCTAAAGCTTGGAGAAGAACAATGTGTGGGTAATTACCTACTAACCTTACCTATACTGAGAATTTATACAATACGCAGGTACAGTAAGATCTACGTGCAAACCAGCTGTCATGGGTTAGGTGACTTAGCTAACTGATCAGGACCTAGCAAATGACCTATGTTGGATAAAAGAAACTCTATAAAGCCTTTTTGCGCCTCTATAAAGATCAGGACTTAATAAGGTATAGCTTTTATGTATCATAGTGTGAGCCTCATAGTAGAGTAATGCTAGCCGTCATGGATATTGCGAGAGGTTATGGTAGTCTAAAGGTCCACTAAATATATACTAAATCTACATACATCTTTTTGTACTTTAGGATGCAAGTCTTAAGTTTCCTTGCCTGACCTTCTCGTAAAGAGGAGAGGGTTTGTTTCACCTGTGTCTCAGCTAGCTATCACATTGTCTACAAATAACCGACGACTCTGATGTTAGATGTAGCGATAAGCCATTGCCAAGTTTGGGATTAGGAGCAAAAACAAGGAATGCAATAACACAATTCGCAATGCCAAACAGCAAGCCCCGGACTCGTGAAGCCAACCAGAAGGTACTTTGTCAGCTATGTTCCAATGTTTCCAGATCATCAAGACAAGGTGAGACATAGCATGAAGTATACCTCTACGTATCGGTGCGGAACTCACATATTGTGAAGTCAATGCTGCCAACGAGTCAAGTAATTATTTCTTGCCTTGGAGTTCTGGTAACAAAGATTGCTTACCTGAGGATAACACATGAATATGATGGGGTCGTCGACTAACACTTCGATCCGGGAAACGACCCGCTGTGACAGACGATGAAGAAGGGGAAGGGGAGTTGGTACGCCCAAACAGCAATAACAACAACAGAGGATGGGCCACCAGACTCCGCCAATTTACTGGCAAGCCTTCAATGGACATGGAGCCGTCCATACCCAACGGCCAGATACCAGTTGACTAAGATGTCGACACTCGACTCAAAAACAGGTGTCTTCCACTGAATGTACCGAACAATGGGCGAATTCGAGTGATATAGCCGCCGATACTGATTTACTAATCGAGCTATGGTCCCAAGAATCCACCAACTTATTCAATGACTTGAAACACTGGACATCGCCGAGGTCTTCTTCACCAGCGTTCCATAAGTCGTAAAAAGCATTTTTAGGAAGCTCGAGCTTCAGCCAGTCGATCTTCTCGATCTACCAGTCGCGGATGAAAGCTTTGTTTCGGGGGTGCGTATATTGATGTCATTTTCGAAGATGGTCGAGAATGCGCCGTGAGTTCTACAGTCGTTATGCAGAATAGTTGGATAGGGTATATGAACCAGGACCTTTCTCACGCCCAGGTAGGTTTTGGCAGTCTAAGAGAAAGAACGGGAGAAGGCCGGGGACATGGGATTCTTCCTCAAGATTCAGAGGGACTCTATACTTCCTGACAAAACCGTTGAAAAGACTAATGTGCATGCAATTCATAGCATTGATGGTTCGCGTAATCGATAATGATATCTGAAACAATTTTAGGATCCAAATGCGAATCCATACTAACGGGTATCTTTCCGATTAGAAAAATCTAGTGGTACAGCCGTGACCAAGGCCCTTTTTCATATCCAACTCTATTGCATTTCTCTCAAGCTCCCAAATGGTAAACATACAATCTCCTTTGATCTAAAAGGTTATCCCATTTTCACAAGACCTAGGAATTTCCTTTACAGCTTGCCCTTGATCAAGTTGTTGATCATCTCGCGACCAGTGATGCGAGTGGTATCCCAGAGTGTAGGGAAGTCGAGGGTGCTGGAAAGGCCATCGGCAAAGCCAAAGAAGAGCATGGGAGGGATCCAGCCGCGAGCGTACTCGAGCGCAAAGCAGCCCTCGGGCATCTTGTATTGCTTGACATCGCCGCGGCGGAGGTGGTGGATGCTGCCGGCGGGGTACACCTCGGCCTTGTACTCGCCAGGAACGTAAGCCAGCTGAGTTCCAGACAGGATGTGGAAGTAGTCGTCGGCGGTGTGGCGACCAGTGTGGCCCTCAGTACCAATGGCAGTGCCTGTTTGACAGAATGTTAGTGATTGATGTGCAATTGCAGCAGAGGAACATACCAAAGATGATGAGGTACTCGGTAACACTGGCGTGGATGATGTACATGGCACCCATAGCACCGCCCGCGTTGTTAAAGACCCATTCCTCCTTGAGGTTGATGTGCTCAGGAACCTTCTCGTTAAGCTCCGTGACAATGTACTGCACAACCGATCGGGTGTCTTCTCCGTGCTTAGCGATAGCTCGCTTAGAAAGATCGTCGAGGTGATCGAGGTCGAAGATGTAGAACTGGTTAAGGTTCTGCTCGACAAAGTAGACGACAGAGCTCAGGAGAGCAGTGAGGAGACCGAGAACCAGGAGGAGCTTGTTGAGGCCGCTGCCCTGCGACGCGGCGGCCGCAGAGGACTTTGACTTTGACTTGTTCTTTGCCATTTTGTTTACCGACAAAGTTGAACAAGTTGAAAGGAACAAGTCGTCACAAATCAATCGCGTGAAGAAGGGGTTATTAGTTCACAATTTCTGTTGAGCCCCGGAAATTAACTTAATAATCCGTTCGGAGCTGGACCCTGGAGCCGCCCGGCCCCGGCATTAGCCCATCAACAGCTTGACCGTTCCGCATCGCGTTTCCGACCGCAATTTTCTAGTCTTGGCACCCATGTGAATTTTATCTGCCAGCTCATAGCTTCGTTTTCGTATTTGTATTCGCAATTATCAATATCTTCAGCCTCGTCAAACATATAAATCTATTGGCTATTTATGCAAACCATCAAAGAAAAAAGCATTGCTTTTCCCCATTGTTCCTCACCGCAACCTCTGTGTATGCGTGGTTCTTTCAACGCCGTACAATTACACCTCAAAATTGGGGGAGAAATAGCAAAAACCAACTCCAATCCCAAGCCCAGTCCCGACGCGATAGCTTCTGTAAATCGCTAAATATTCCCTCATGCCTTTCAAGTAGAGTTACACATGCCGTCTTCTTCCTGTTGGTTTCTAATCCACGTCTGAATCTCCCATGACCTCTGTCCGATCGGCATCATCCACATCTTCGTCGTCGTGAAGAACTGTCTGATCTTCAATCTCGGCATCATCCATTGTAACGTCACCCATGGTTATGTCGCCTGCCGTCATGTCTCCCACTGTGAGATCCCCAAGTGTAACATCACCATTGGCATCACCGTTCAGGTCACCGTTCTGCTTGTCCATATCGTCATCCAGATCGAGATCTGCATCATCCTCTTCCGGCTTCTTTGGTCTGGGCCGCTTGACTGGAGCAATGACACCAAGCTCTGATGACCGTGGCCCCCAACGAGCTAGACGCCTTGTCGCCCGTCTCAACGCTCCGGCGTAGGCACTAACTTCTTCACCAAAGTCGTCCTTCTCCTTTGTAAGAAGACAAAGACCACCTACGCCCTTCTCTCTGAAAGGCCCTGGAGTCTTGTCTCCATATGTGAGGTTCCGAGGAGTTGAAGTTTCATCATCGCTGTCTTCAAAAGGATCTTCTTGGACCTGGAGTCTTTGATAGGCTCTGAAAACAGCACCATCTTGCCGCCTGAGCTTTCGACTCTTGTGATGTTGGCGACGAAGACCCCGGTCAAGAATGTACTCGACCCTTTGACTCCTGTTTCGCTCAACAGCGAGTTGATGCGCTGTTGGGGGGCGGGGCTTTCTTGCAACAACACCCTCGTTGACAGTATGTGCCGGAGATGAGCCCTCAAAAATCTGATATTTGAGGGGTGCGCCTCTGCGATTCGAGGTAAGACCGCGACCAAGGGCCCTAGGCGGAGGTGTTGACCGTGTGCTATCCATATCAGACTCATGTTTCGAGGGTCTGATGCGGGGGAGGATGGCTGGGCCCTCATCAGCGAACGATGGTCGCATCTTGCCTCTCTTAGTGTCTCTCTCATTGAGGAGAGCCTGGTCCATTTCAAGAATCTTCGCCCTCATTTTCTGTTTGGAGCGTCCAAACTCAATCTCTTCTTCAGTGTCCACGTTTTCTTTTGCTTTCTCTTCTGGGGTCATCTCCACGAGTTCAGGCACGCCCTGGTTTGCAACATCTAGCCCGTAGTCAACCCCAGGCCCGAAAGGATTCTCCTCGCAGCCTTCTTCCGTGAAATCAGATTCAAGATAGAACCACATAAGCCAGAGAAATGCATTCGCTCTCGACTTGCTCGTGTATTCAGTTCTCATAATCAGGTCGTGGAGTTCGCGGTGGCGAGGAAAGTGAAGCTCGGCGATTTTCTGAGCTGTGTTGCACATGACAAATATGAGATTGACAGGATTTGTGCGAGGAGTGTCCAGCTGCTTAATTTTGTCGAGAGAGTTGGGTTCCTCTCGATCTTCCGCGCCACCTTTTAGAATAGATTTGAGACGAGGTGCATCCTGAAGCTGCTTGTAAGCATGAGGATCCTGGCGAGCTTGAAGTGATGGGATGGCGTGGTATGTGCGGAGCTGAGCTCTCATCTCAGGAAAGACTGGAAATGTTAGCAGTGGTTTCAAGAGTGAGAAGATTAAACTTACAATTTAGAGTGGTATTCATTCGGCCCATGTTGACAAGAAGACACACCATAGCCATTCCTTTCGCGGCTTCTCTATCACTTAGCAGTTTGTCGCGAAGCACCTTGCTGGTCTTTGAGCTGCGGGACATTGTATCGATATACAGATCGGCAAAGCATTGACGCTGGAGTCGCTTTGGTTCATATGAATTGGTAAAAACACACTGCTCATTGTCGAACACGGCCTTGAGGAAGTCATATTGAATGTCTTCCCTCCAAAGAGGCTCGCCATCTTCCTTCTTTAGATGGCGTATCTTGCCGATCGTCGGTTGATTTGCGACGTCCTTATTCTGTGATGATTTGGTTTTACCTCGCGACGATTTTTCTTGAGGATCGGGAGTGGCATTGGCCATCTGAGTATCGTCGTCCTCGGTCATGGCTCGCGAGACAAAAGACTTGGCTTCGGGCTGGCCAGGTGAGCTGGGAGGATCGACCTCAGACGTCGCGGCAAGCGAGGCAGGAGACGCCATTGTAGGTGATTGTGGCTTTTGCCAAAAAATGAGGGTATTCGCAAGGGGTCGCGAGAAATGGAGGTTCAAGATCAAGTCGTGTGGATTAATTAACGGCGCATCGCGAAAGGACAATTCAGCTGGAGTATCAATGTTTGGCAGGGAGACGGAGGTGGGGATTGATTGACGATGACTGGGCCGAAAACCAGATTGCGCGCAGATTGTTTGTGGGTTGCGTATGCGACGATGATGATAGTATTAGTGTTGGTGTTTTAGAATAAAATGGAAAGAGTTGAGGTTCTGGAGGTTGCTGATACGTTGGGAAGAAATGGAGATGGGAACGGAAGTAATGGAAGAAGCGAAGTTGCCAGTTGCTCTCCTCAGCCTTTTCCTTGTCTTGCGTTAGTTTGCCTGGGGCAGCAGATACGCCCACGAGCCGGGAAGTTGCTGAGCGCGTCACGGTACATTACCACAGGAGCCCGTCGTACCTGATTCACGACTAGGGACTCCGTACTTTAGGTAAGGCAGGGAGGTGTTCAGTGGAGCAAGGAGGCCGAAAGCACTGTGGCTTGAAGCAATATTGTGGCGTCAATTTATGCATGGTCCGTGCTGGTCGCGCTGCAACGACCAGAGCTAAGCTGTAGCAGCGGCCTAGGCATTGTGTTTTCTACCAGGGGATCGCACTTCCTCATCTCTTTACATCAACAAATCCCATACCAAAGGGAGCAACCAAGCTCACCACGGCTTCGGCCAGGACGATATACATACTAACCAACAGGGACGTTATAGACGGGAAACTTTCTCTTTTGAAGTTTCGAGACATCGCAGAGAACTGGCCAGTATCTTGCGGAACGTTCAAGAGACTGAAGGACATTCGACAAACAACAGGACCAAACCCAAACCCAATATTGTCAGCAGCGCTTCACGTCTTTTAAACTCCAGACACCCAAAATGGCCACTCCCGTCAGAACGGCTACCATTGGCGGTCCTCCAGTGACCGATAGCCCAGGTACTTGGCGTCACCCACGACTCAACGAGATCGCCAGGCGTCGTAATGCGACGACCTTCTCCGAGAAGAATGTGCGCCAGATCGCCTATAATGTCATTGCGCTGCTAGGATTCTGGTCTGCGCAGCTCTTAGCCAAGCTTAACATTGGCTCTCAAGTGTGAGTTTTCGCGGACATCCTTTGCGACCTACCAGTTGCTAACTTTAGTCTTTAGTGTCCCTAGCTCTTTCAGGATATACTTGAGCTGGGCATGGTTTATTCTCAACCTCATACCCTTTATCAACATTGGTATCGCGTGTCTGCCCTTGATTCGACCGAAAGACGATCTCTCCGATATCCCTCTGACACCTGCTCAGCGCAAGCTGCTGGGCCTGGACCCCTCCTCGGCCGCCCCGACCCCCGATGCGAAGTTCAGCACGCCTCCTCGATACTCACGCACACCCTCCATAGGTGGCTCTGTTGGAAGCCGAGGAAGCTACGGCAGCTCACCTCTTTCTGGTCGAGGAAGTCCTCTTGTACAGGGAGCGACTGGCTCACCGTTAGGCAGCCCTCTTTTCCAGAAGAGCGTCAACAGTTTTGGCAATGGAAGAAGGTCTTCATTTGGATCAACAAGCCCATTTGCGGCTAGCTCTTCTGCCAACCTCTTCTCAGATCCTGCCTCTCCCGGTTCGGCTGGAGGTAAGCGGACAAGCGTCGGATTGAACAGCAAGTGGTTATACGAGAAGGGACGGCGATCGTCAAGTAATGCCTGGAACTTGTGATTCAGGATTGCGTAATGAAGTTGGACGTTTTGGACAAGCATGTTCGTGATACAAGAAGGGCCGGAGTTATATGAGTCTTGTCATTCGGCCGGGAGACACCGTATCAAGCGTGCATGGAATCTGGCCTGTTAGAAGAAAGACCCGATGTTGATATTCCTGTGAAGGGTTCGCAGCGGAATTCAGGAAACTCTTCAATAACAAAACTAATGATCTAAATGCACCATCTGATGAGTGATTCAAGGAGATCGCTGCGGAAAGACCGAACTGAGTATTCGATAAGCTCAAAACTGCATGATTATCTCATGTTGACATGCGTAGGGAGGGGGCATTCTTAAGAACATAGCATTTCTTATGGCTCTCCAGCCGCAGTCAAACAGTCAAGGAAACGACAACGATTTCAGGCCAATTCCCTTCACTGCATCCCAATTTTGACAACAGGACGACCCGTGAAAGCGCGGGCTTCTGACTTGGCCGCGATATCTTCTGCCTCCTCCATCGTGAGCAAAGTCAAATGACTGCGTATTCCATGCTGAACTACAAATTCTATCATCTCTCTAGTCTCACTCATGCTACCATGGACTGTCCCCTTGACGACGATCTCTCTCAAGATGAGATTCATTGGGTCGAATTTGAGACCATGCTCAGGAAAGCCAGCGGCGACCAATACTCCTCTTGGTTGCAATCGCTGAGCAGCCCAGTCATTAGCATCGTCGTCGCTGGTGCATACAATGGCAGCATCGAGACCGATTCCATCGGTAAAATCAGAGATCCTCTGAATGGTTTCTGGGTCATTAAGCTTGAGTGTGAGATCCGGTTGGAGGTGAGAGGGAACTCCTGAAGCGAGCTTCAAACCAACCTCATGGTTGTCAATAGCCACCACCCGATAGCCTCGGGCCTTTGCGAATTGAATACCCAAAACTCCAAGGCCACCTATACCGATGATGCCGATGGTCTCGCCTTTTTTCATATCTGCCTGGTTAATGGCATGCCACACAGTTGCCTGAGATTGGCTGTCAGCATAGGCAATAGAATACTCTTGGCTCTGGGAAACAAACACACCCCGGCACACATCAAAGGAGCTGCCTGCTCAAAACTTATGCTGTCAGGCAAGGAAATAACAGCACCATGCCAAGAAGTCATGTATTCGGCAAAGGCCCCATCACGACGAATGATGCCACACATAGTCCTATTATCACAGAAACGTGGATCGAGCGACCCAAGACCCTGCATGGCCCACTTACATCCATTACAGCCTTCGCAAGGATCCATGAAGTTTGTAACTCCCACACGATCCCCTACATGCCATATCTCAGACACATCAGAGCCAAGACCGACTATTGTTCCAACCGGTTCATGAGAGCCGATGAAAGGTAATGGTACCTGGGTTATGCCATGATAAACCATGATATCAGTGTGACAAAAGCCAGCGGCTGCCACACGGATGAGAACTTCATCGGGCTTTGGCTTTGGCACTGGGACATCATGGAGAAGTCTGTAGTTCTTATGAAACTAAATGTGTCAACGAGTTAGAAAAGCACAAGGTCTAGGTGTAGACAACTTTACCTCAACCAGTCTCAATGCCTTCATCGTCTCAGGCACAGTAACGTGGCCTGACATTCTTACAATACTCTTGATAAAAGTAAAGGTTGACAATAGTAACAGGAGAACAGTTGTAGTGGTTGATTTTGCGATCAGTCAGCTGAACTCTCCAGGTTAAATACAATCAGGGTATGCCGGATAATTGTAAGTAGCTTACAATAGAGATGTAATCGAAGGTGTGCAAAGACAACAAAGTAGTGAGACAGCACATTACGTAGTGCTCACGCTGACATGTCTTGGCTCTTTTTATCAAGTCAGTCGCCAGTGCTTGCATTTTTGACCAGTTCAATGATTCCTAGGACATTTCATTCAAGAACTCATATTGTATCTCCATTTATTGAACCAATGGTCACCAGAGCGATTATATGTAATTATATACCCAGTTGCGAGTTTACAACTTGGTCATGAAGCCGCTCTTCTCATCCTCGAATATGTTGGTGAGTGTTCCAATATGAGGCAGAATCTCAACCGCAAATTCGTCGCCGTGCCGAAGCGCATCCTTCGGCGTTCGGCCCATTCCAACACCTGCGGGGGTGCCAGTGACAATGACAGTTCCTGGAGGGAGTGTAGTACCTTGAGACAGCCAGCTGATAATCTTAGGGACAGAAAAGATGAGGTCACTAAGTGAGGTCAGTAGGAAAGCTCACATAACTTGGTTTGATACTTCTTACTCAGTGCCGCTCTCCTGATACACTTCGCCGTTCTTTAACCCTCGCATGTGAAGCTTAGTAGGGTCTGTAATAAGAGATTTGAGAACCAGTGTTGGGCCTATAAGTGGAATTGTTAGCTCAATCAACCATAACCTCAGATGAACTTACCTAATGGACAAGCCCCATCAAAGCTCTTTGAGAAGGACCATTGAGATTGGTTAAGCTGTTGAGTACGGCTGGAAACATCGTTGGCGGCAGTATATCCGAGAACGTAGTCCAAAGCTTCGGCCTCGCTAACGTTCTTAGCCGTCTTACCAATAACCACAGCCAATTCTGCCTCGTAATCACCAGACTCGTCAACCTGGCTCAGCTTGGGAATGGTCCCACGGGCTGGCCAAGGATCGACGATCGTTGTCGCTGGTTTCCTATATACAGGTCAACTCAAGGCCTAGTCTTGTCTTACTAATCAGGCAGGCTTACATGAAGATGACTGGGATTGCTGGGGGATCAAGTCCACATTCGGCCGCGTGCTTTCTGTACTGAGATGGCGAGTCAGTATCCTGCGATTTCAGAAGTAAATTGACATACATTCAAACCGACACATCGAATAGTGCCGATCTCGTTTTGGGCAAGAGGGGACAGGACGCGGTCAATGGTTTCAGTAGTGCCAGTCGAGGATCCTGGGGATAGGACTGATGAGCCTGACCAAACATTGACAGCAACCTCTTGACCCTTGCGTAAGGCAGCACCAACATCGATATCCTTGTCTGCTGGCTGACCGATAAGGATCTTGGAAGGACTAGATCTTGGTACGAAGCGTACGAGACCTACGATAGCTGTTATGATGATGCTTTAACGAGCTTCAGAGGATCTGCTTACGCTGGAGGGCGGATGAGGCCATGATGTATACTGCGTATGACGTGATTGGCGAAGTACTTAAGATAAAAATGAATGAAGACAAGAACCAAGAGATCGAGGCCTTGAGCTCTTTATAAATGGCGGACTTAAGCCTAGCGACATTGAATGAACAAATATTAAGGCCGGCTTCGGCATGTTGATGTCCATGTAACAACGTGCGGGAACTGGGGTCCCGTCGGGGAGACGCCGGACTGCAAGGTATCGATTCGGGTCGAAGCCCCGGAGGGAACTTCTGGAAAGTCAACAACATCCATATTATGTATATACCTGCCTGCCAGCATACTGTTAGGTAATAAGGCAATTGTCAGTATAAGATTGAATTAGATTGAAGTTTTTCTACAAGGTATTGGGTATTGAAGAAATCAAGCGAACACTTTCTTCTATTTCATGCACTTTACATACAGTTGCTAGTGTCTTGGAAGGATGCATACCTTAGTACCTCTTAAAGGAAGGATGGAGCAGGGCAACACAAGCAAACCACATACATTTTGATCAGGGACAGTACTATATTGAGCACTACTGCCATGACTGATATTGGTCATGGGCAAAAGACATAAGAGCCCGCAAGACGCAAAAGATTATGCGTGATCCGAGAATCGAACTCGGGACCCTCCCATGGGAGAGGAGGATTTTACCACTAAACTAATCACGCTTCTGTTTATTAATGGATGAGAGAATTGATTGCCTGTGTAGGAAATTAATGCTGAATTGTATCTGTGTAACGAGACATCTCTATCTGCCTATGTTGGAGAGTTGAGACGAAGCAAACAGGTGATGGTGAGCTTCTTATATTAGTCGAAGCTGATAGGATCCGCCTATGACTTGCTTCAGATCGTCTTGTGGGGCAGAGACAGACCTTACTGCATTAGTTTTAACTATGTTCCGCCACAACGCTGACTTTAGCCCAACATAATGCATTGATCGAAGCTCATAGTACCGTGTTCGTATGACAGTTATCATAGGTATAATCTAACCAGATGCTACACGCAGGAGGGAAGAGAGACAGTGTAACAGTTCAAGTTTTGGCATACCGGTACTGGATGTTGACACGGCACCAAAGAGGGCAAAAGCCGGCTGGAGAACTTACGCTGCTGTCCACATCTGGGAAGTTGGTGTGATTCCAGTAGACAATATGTCCTGCAATTGTACGGCCTGGTACAAGGCTGGCCCAAGGTAGAGTTTGGACTCCAAGAGTGAGGTTCGTGTGGTTTTCACGTCAAGGCAAGGAGAGAGAGAAAAGTCCTCACGGAGGGGGCTTCTGTAGCCATTACTCAAGTGGATCTTTCTTGTGGAGGTTCTGACGGGCTGGGCAGCTTGAAGCTTTGGGTACGTACTGGCCAACCTTAACCCCTCCACCAACAGTCACCCACCTGAGCTGCAACACCTCGCCTCAATATCGATAGGTATTCTACGTCACTCTATTTCTTCTGGTCACGTCGCCGCCAACCCACAAAGCTTTCTTCAAGTCACTCACCCTACAAACGCCTCATCATGGCCAGCAAGGTTGACCGCATAGTTGCCCGGCTACAGGCCAAGATCGAAGAGGGCGATTACTACGAGGCTCAACAGCAGACCCGTGTCGCGGCATCTCGCTATATCAAGACCTCCAACTGGCCTGCCGCGATAGATATCCTCTCCAATGTGTCTCAGGCGTTGCTGCGCGCGGGGCAGGGTGGTAGTGGAGGAGATCTGTGTACTATGTTGGTCGATGTCTACAAGCAGGCAGAACTAAAGCCTGATGCTACCACCAAGGGTAGACTATTGACTTGTCTACGACTATTCGAGGCTGGTGAGCCTACGAGGAAGAGGTTTATTGGCGAAATCATAGCGTAAGTGCTACATTGTCGTCTGACAAGTCATCGCGAGCGAGCATGCTGACATTATCGGGGAAAGATGGTCAGCAAAGTTTGGCGAATATCCAGCTGGAGATCCAGAGCTTCACCATGTTGCCGGTTCACTATACGCCGAGGAGCACGATACATACGAGGCCGAGAAACATTTGATATTGGGAACCAAGGACTCGCCCGAGATTCTCACAAAGATGGAATATAATTGGTACAAGGAGGGCGAGCCTCATCAAGCGGCTCTCTTCGCCGGCCGCGCCGTTCTCCCATATCTCCTCGTTGGCAACGTTCGTGCTGCCAATACCTGCTACCGCCTCTTCATCAGCTCCCTCTCCAATGATAACCCGAATCTTGGTGTCCAAGACGTATCGAGTTCCGCTGGTGACATCCGCATTTTCCCAAGCCTGCCTCTCCTCAACTTTCTTGGCTTTCTCCTTCTCGCCATCCAGCGCGGCGCACCCGAACTCTACCGTGCTTTGGTGTCTAAGTATGCCACACAGATCAACGAGGCGGGATCATGGGCCGAGGCGCTTGAGATGGTTGGAGAGATGTACTTCGGTCTGTCCAAGCCTCGACAAAACAATCCCCTTATGGATATGATGAGCGGTTTCTTCGGTGGTGGTGGTGGCCAACCAGAAAAGCCAAAGCGTAAGCAGGTTACGCAACGGCAAGATGCCCCCACAGCGGAAGGTCTAGACTAGATGATTTGATCTGTGGGGTTGGATGTTGGTATACCATATTGCCTTGAGAAATACATAGACAGCAGGCGTTGTAAGGTAAATAAAAGACTGGGCTAACCACGGGGTTGTTCTTCTGGTTCAAACATCCAATTATCTTCGGCAAGGGCTGCTACTTTGGCTCGTAGACTTGCTCTCACAGCTTCAAGAAGCTCTAATGCGGCATTAATAAGATAAGAATAACAAAGACAAGCTTATGTCGCACCTTCAGGTTGTTCGGTCATAGCATGGCGATGCATCTGGTGATGTTTAACTGCTTCTGCTAGACGTTGTCTTTCCTCTATTTGCGATTTAGCATTGGTCGATCTCTAGTCCTGCGCATGTCTTACTCTCACTCTCTTGTCTATGATCTAGTGGCAACTCATCCTCGTCTTCCATCATTGGTGTCGGAGGATCTCCAAGCTCAATTTCTCCATGCTTATCGCGAACTACGATCTCAGATGTATCAGACAAGATATCGACGTCCGAATGCAGTGTTTCGGCAGACGTAGAAGTCGATCCAGCGGTAGGTCGCCGGGTCAACTGGCTTTGGAATAGATTACGACGGACGCCTGCTGAAGAGGCGCCGTTGCGAGAGCGGGGAACCCCGGTGCCATTCGTTGTTGTCCGCGTTCGATCTGCCATCGCGAAATCGCCAATTTTTGTTAGCAGTTGTGATGTGAAAGAAATGTAACTATCCAAGAAGTTGATGTTGATCAAAAATGGGTTATGTAAAGTCAGATGTTAGGTCACCTTCTGTTGACTTTCTGTGGGGTGTCCCGGGGGGTCTTCGTCTAGTCATCTTAGCTGCTTCTGTCTATCTGGTCAGGGCAATTACACAAACACTTGTGCCTACCTCCAACAGGCATGTAAAGAGCTCAGTATCACTTGCACGACCGATTAACAAGCTCCTCGCCTTGGGGCTTCTGCTCATGTTCACGTAGTCTCATGATTATGTCCACCCGGGGCCTCCAAGCTCAAAAGTCAGGATTGCATTCAAAGTGTAATAGCCTCCCTAACTCCGTCCTTGGTAACGTTAACTCTGAACCAAGCTTAATTCAGAAAAAGAGATATACTCGACATATACCTGTGATAGTCAAGTTTTGTTCAGGTATGCTGTCGCTAATACTATTCGCCATTTGTTACTAGATGTGGAACATCAGCACGGCGACCATTGTCATCGGTGTAATGTTGTAAGTCCTGTTCTTAATCGTACAACTTGTCTTCATCTCTAGGAAAGCAGCCTAACCCATCAATACGACCCAGCATCACCTGAATTTGAAAGTTTACTCTGGTCGGTTTGCGGTGTCCCTACAGGGAGAGGTTGTAAGAGTACTCGTCTTCCATGTTCTGGCTGATCCAAAGAACGACGGAACTGTAGGGAATTAGTAAAAACGATCGATTTCCCTGGGATGAGAAGAATCGTACCTTACTCCAACAAGAGCGTTACTGAGCACATTCTCAATTCCCATACCCAGAGCAGGCATAGCGACGCTGGGCACAATAAACTTGAGAACAAAGACGGTAACACCACCAGCCATTCCACCAGCGAGAGCAGCAAAACCCAAGAACAGGACCACGCGAGCCTTCCATGCTACCCCGTTTCCACTGTAGCTGAAGGAATCGGCGCTTAGGCGTTGCTTCTCGACCGAATTGATGATAAGCATGCCCAAACTAGAGAAAATAAAGGGCAGCCAGTCAACGAACTTGACATGGATATCGGAGCCGTTGCGTGACGATTTGGACCAAACTGCGGAATCGAGCATGACGTAAAAAGCGATGGAGAACTAGAGCGCGCCAGGTGGTGAGTAACGAAACCATTGACAAAGCGGGCGCATCTTGTCGCGCATAGTACTTTGGGAGAGCCATGCAACGAAGAAGAAGCGCCAAATACTCAAGCTGGGGAGACTTTTATGGGTTCAACGTACAATAGCTCCGGCGCTGTAGACACCAGCATTTCGGGCCCAAACGGTGTTAAGCCACTCAGGCCGTCGAAACTTCCAAAGGCGCTCTTCCTCCATGGTTATAAATGGTGTGTGTTGCGAAAGGCTTGTTTCTTGTTGTGGAGATATCTGATGTTGCGGAATCAGTGATCGTTGGCCGATGATGGTGTTGACGATGCTTGGGACTGGAGGCTGACAATGACGAGGCTCACGCGTGGACGGGACCGGCCTTGCTTTAGCGCCGATGGAATATCACGTGATATATTTGTGGTGAATGACCAGACCCACACAAGTGTGGCTTCTTGAAGCGGGCCGTGGTCGTGGAGACAATCGCGTGGCTGGGTGTCATGAACTGTAAAACACTAAGAATCCACACGCGGAGACGCAAAAGATCCCCGTCTTAGAGAGCCATGCTACTGTGGCCATGTCACATTAATTACCCCGCTGGTCGGTACGATGCTCACTCCGCTCACCCAGGACCCTGAAAACAATGGAGTTGAGCTGCGGATAGTGACAAGTATCACCATGTGATATGTAGGTACACAGGGCCTTGTAAGGTCAATTTGGCTTTGTAGATATTCAGGGTCTCTGTAAGGGACCAAAATATGGTGCTGTGGCGCACTTGAATGTTGATCAAAGCCAAACTCTATTTATACAAGTATTGTATGGAGCATTCTCGCCGTTAAAAACATTTTACTTTGTATGCCGTTTCAACGTTGTTCAACAGTTCGGATACTGCATCTCCATCTGCAAGATAATGCATCAAAAAGGGTAGCGACAGGAAGCCACATTAACGATGCCCAACCGTTGCGAATCGAGTATGCAACAAAGCATTCCTCAATTGAACAGGATGTATTGACAATCAACCCTGCGCGTTAGGTTCAAAGCCAGAAAACGAGAGGTGCTGGGGTACCTATCATGGATTTACTTGCATATACACCATGCTTTGGATGGGTAACTGTCCACAGCAACCATTAGACTAGGCTCTCATGAAGGCACAACACCAAGAGCCATCGAGATTCAGTGGTCCGACACAGCCAGCCGCTGGGGATCTTAAGGCTGACCACCAAATCAGCGTGGCGGCCAGCCGTGTCTGTCAACTTTACCAAATGAATCCAAAGCGTTACTAGCCGCTGGACAATCAAAACAATTGCCGCATTAGCCTCTATTAAAGACCGCGGCTCTCCTGATATTTGCGGCGTTGCTAATGTTTTTCAGACATACACTATCGAATATGGGCGAATGGGGTCCTCCCAACAACGCCTAGTCTAGACCTATTCGATCGTCATTCTCCTTTTTTACTCGCCTGGGGTGCCCTTCACAAACACCTGGCACACGCATTGACAGGCAGGCATTAGGAAGGTGCAGCAAGCCCCAGTCCCTGCCCGCTTCTGCCTCTGTCGTCGTGCGACCCCGTCTTTTCAGTCCCGTCCCCATCCCATCGCTTCAACCCGATCTTCACTCTATCATACAATTGCTAACGCGATTTTTGGTAGTGCGTCTCGCCCACTCGCTTGGTTACGCACACTCACTCGCTGGCCTATGCAGTTATTACATTCTTTATTTATTTCTTAGCTCTTGTTGTGTTCCTTCGTTCGAGTTACAGGAGGCCGGCATAGATATCGGTCGCTTCAGTAATTACCCATCTCTCGCTATCTTCACTCCACGCGCCCCCTTGCCAGGACAATAGACGCGGTATATCCCTTCAGACGTACACACAACTATCGAGCATACAAGTCGCCTCCTACTTCCATTTTCTCGGAGAAAATACGCCTGTTTTCTAAGCGCTATTTCATAACGGGAGCATACATCTTTTAGATCAAGACTCGACCTCCCCCTTTGGCATTCCAAGGCCTCCTCGATATACGCAACCTATCCCACCCGCCCTCGATCGATCTCAAAACGAATCTCACTGAATAATCCCGTTTTGCCAGCGCCTGTCCCACGAGAAATCTTTCCCAACAATACTCGAGATCGATCTCAAGGACGTATTTCGTTTGGACAACCATTCTTAGAAATAGCCGTTTGAAACGACTAGTTCAATATGAGACCGATCAATTACCTACCGAGACCGGACCTTTTGGTCTCAGTCTTTGCCTCCGTTTCATTGTATGGTGCCGTGGCCATGGCCCAAGATACCAAGGATGACCCTAAGAATAATGATCCCTCTGCTGTTCCTGAGCCTGCTTCAGCGGCGACCGATTCGAAGAATAGCGATGCCAACAAACCCACCAATACAGCTGCTGAGTCTGCCAAAGAGAGCAGCGACGACAAGAAAGCTGAGCCAGCTAGTACTGAAACGAAAGACAGCGCGAAGCCTGCATCAACGAAGGACGAGCAGCCTTCGAAAACGGAAGGAAAAGAAGAGCCCAAGTCTACTGCAAAGGATGACTCTAAGTCTACCGAGGAAGAAAATCAGGCCAGTACGGCGACAGGAGAGGGCCCAACCAAAACTAAAGACATTCAGTCCACAATCACATCTATAGCCTCTTCTGGCACGGAAGAAGCTATGCCTACCTTGACAAGATACAAGCCAATTCCTACTTATCCAGCTCCTTCTGTTCCTCCCACTAACAACGCCCCTTTCATGCGGCACTCAAGCGCCCCTGACGGAACCGTCTTTATTGCGGTTGGGGCTATCCTTGGCGCTCTCGGGCTCGCCATCCTCCTCTGGCGTCTTATCGTTGGCATCCTCCTTCATCGGTCTGTAGAGCGAGCAGCCAAGGCCCAACATGACGAGAACGCAAAGACAGGCTTCCCCGCACCCCCTGCGCCCTTCTACAAATATACTGATACCAGGTCGACAATGTCTCTCTCTGCTGGTCGCGGCGTGCGGCGAACCACCCGTGGACCTGTTCTATCGTCAACCCCTAGCGCCTCTAATCTGTTCTTCTCGCCAACTGCCGCAGCATCAGGCAATGGGGCTGGCAATCGTGGCTCTGCATTTTTACCATCTGGCTTTTATGCCGCTGGCACCAGCTCTCCTGGTGGTCAACATGAGAATGATATCGGAATGACCAACTTGCGCCCTGATTCTCGCGGTCACTTCGGCACTCCTTCACGACATACCTTAAATCCAAGTCCTCCGGAGTCACCTTCATTCCATGGCCGAAGAGATATCAGCAACTCAACTCTCAATCTCAATCGACCACCAAGCCAACGCGCCCCTAGTGCATTCCTTGAAGATCTTCTCGCTGACGACCCTTCGAGTCTTCCACCTCCACACATGCCTGCCTCGACTGCCAGACGCTCATCGTATGGCAATGGCTCCCCTGGCGCGCACAACCGGATCTAAGCCGGTACCAAACGACTTCTATCATAGAAAATTCACATGCGAGCGATATCATGTTTAATCGTCCTTGTTGCCAAAGAAAAACTTGTTGTTACAGGAGGGGAGGTCACCTTCAAATCATTTTGCAACAGCGGCGTCAAGAGAGTGGCATTTTTTTTTTCATCGGGATACGGCTTGCGGATAATTCGATACTTATTCATGAGAGGACACAGGTGTAATGATCCTCGGTAATGTGTTCGTGGGTGTTCTGAGCAGAGTTTTGGGTTATTGTCGACGATGCAACAGTTCGACATGGCTGTAGGCACGAGCGTAGCGTTAAGCCCTGACAACGTCCGCTATCAGACAACTCAAGTTCTACTCTATGTTTGGATACGTTAGGGGAGTTAAAGGTTTTGATCCATACTCCAGAAATACCTTCTGGCTTTCTTAGTACATAGTCCTCTTCAACATGATACATTCACTCTCCATCTGTCCTATTCGATTTTTTGGAGTCAACCAGGTTTGATTCTATGACTAATGGCAACCAAACATGGAAATTGCCATCAATTTGAGGTGACGGTACACCAACCGTGGTGATTCCGGAAGTCACCCTACGAAAGAGCAACATTAAGCCAATACGATGTTTCTTTCTCATGAGAATTAGTTTGCCTCATCGTTACATGCCTGTGTAGGTTTGTTCTTACAATTAGGCGAAGTTAGGCTTATTACAATCAAAATAAATACTTACTAACAATATGGCTTTGAATATGCGCTGAATTACTGCTGTATTTCACAGTGAGAAGCTATAGGTGAGGAGCACAGTGACCATAAACTGACTGTACTCATATTACGCCGTATGTTGTATATCAAAGGTAGACCGTTCATACTGTTATATGCTCATCATCGTGCACTCTATTGTGTTCTTCGCCCTGTACCACATAACGCCCTATCCCTAATATCCCACCTTGGCCGACTCCATACTCCATGGCTGTTGGTTCCAAAAGATGTATCGTTCTTCATTATGCATTAATAAGATATCTCATCCTCGAATCATGCCCTGCCTGTGCCATGGCTAACCGAGGGGACATACACAATCCAAGTTCAGGATGTCATTGTAGCCCTTTCTCCTCTGGTATTACCATCCAATTGTTCATTGTCACTGTGCCTTTCCATGGACCGTCTTTCTGGATGCTCGTCAACAGACACGCTGTCAACGAAATCACGGCTGTCGTACTGAGATTGTTTCGCCTTTGATTGCTCCTTTTCTTTTCGTTCTTCCTCTTCCTGCTGCCTTTCCAGCTCCTCAATCTCTTTGACTGTCTTTTTGCTTGACTCAACATCTTCTTCCGCCTCTGCCAATAGTAATCTTACTCTTTCGATCCTTGTCATGGCCCCTTCTAGCTTATCCAGACGTCTTCGTTTCTCTTGATCTCGTCGCTCCAGCTCATCCACGCGCTGTTCTAGCTTTGCTCGTGCCCGCCTCTCTTCGGCGACCATCTCATTTGCCTGCTCGAAGAGGGCAGCGCTAAGCTCCTCAACCTCCTGGCTTGTAGCTGCAACCTTGCCTTCGGCTTCCTTGCGCAAGCATTGCTCTCGATTGAGTGCCTCCAGCAGATCTTCGGCTGATGGAGATGGCGGGGGTTGCAATTGTTGTGGGCGGTGCGATTGGCCGCTTATGGAACGCTGGTTGGAAGGTCGGGAGGGGTTGGTGTCGATATGGGGAAGTTCGTGTGACTTGCGCGGGGAGAGGAAAGATGATAGCCGACTGGTACCGCTTTGTAGCAAGGACATGCGAGGATTTGTAGGCGTTGCAGGAAGTTGCTTCTGAACTGGCGATGAGGGTAGCTGAGCGCGCAAATTGGCGAGTTCATCCTCATAATCGGCCCAGCGATCGACGGCGGCAGTGGCCTTCTCGTTAAGAAGACGGACCTGGTTCTCGAGGTCTTCGATGCGAGCCTGGGCCTCAAGCAGTTGAACTTGGCTGTGGTCGAGAGGTAACGAGTAGCCGCAGCCCGGGCAGCACGGCGTGGAATCAGCGGAGAGAGTGGGCGCTGCCATTGTCATGACCATTGTCGTTGACATGGCCGGCACATATATAACGTTGTATGTGAGTCGTTGGCGGTTACTGATAATGCAGGGTGGAGGAGGTTAGTAAATGTTTATAGATACACTGAATCAAGCAATATTGAGAATATGCCAAAGAAGCACTTATCACGACCAAGGGATGAGTATAAAAGTCGTGGGCGTTGTTTCAAAAAGAAAGGTTTCGATAAATACAGGGATAGTCAGCCCAAGTGTCCCTATTTTTGTCGCTGAACTGAATGCGGGCAGTGGCTTTGACGCCTTGGACACGCGATAACTTGAGGGGCGGGGAGGCGCTTGGGCGGCTGAGCAGGCGATTTCAGTGGCGCGTGTCTTGTTGATCAGGGTCCAGTTGTGGCAGGGTATTTGGACTACGAAACAAATGGCGTTTCTCGTATATCCACGCATGTTACAGTAGTTATTCGAGACGTTACGAATTGACGTTATTTACGTTGATTTGTTCACGTATCAAGACCAGGCAATTGACTGGTCTACCTGGTTCAGTCATTCGTTCCACTAATCGAGCCAAGACATAGACCATCAAGTGTTAAAAGAACAACAAATGATATTCATGGCTCAATCTTGTAACAAATTGCTATTGGAATGGGTAAACAGGGTCAGGTCACGTCACTAAATCTGATCATGTCATATCACATGCGATAACTCTGGGAACGGGCTTCTCAGGTGGTATTAACTTTAGATCAAGATTCTAGGTTGATTCTAGCACAAGCCCAACTCATTATCGTCCGGCGGTCCTGGGCTCAATTCTCGCCATTGTGGATTCTTCTTCGACTATCCCAAGCCCCGTCTGTTTCATCGGATCTGAGCGACGAGTGCAGCCAGACGGATTGATATCTATGCGAGAAGTCTCGCGCCATCAAAGGACGATTGAATACCATAGTATGGATGGAAATCTGTGGCTATAAAGACGAACGAGCGCCTTGTTTCCCATAGAATGTAGAGTTTGTGTGGGCTCTTATTCCACAGCGGATAGGTCTGTCAGCCAGATTATTGAGACAAGCGATGTCGCGTGTCCTTGTTGTATCAGGGCAGCTCTCAAACAAAACTGCAAGCTCAGCTTGGCTTTGCAACCTTTCGAGGCTCGCTGATGCCTGTTTCGGGATCTCTGTATTCTTTCCAACTGATAGGGACCATATCATTGCCCGCCTCACTCGTAGCCATAACAACACCCAGTTCGTTTGACGCTGTCGATAGGTAGTAGTTGGCCTGGTCACCGAGAGAAATCTAGCACAAATATGTCAACATCACCACCTTATACGAAGTAGTAGGGAAACTCACCACTTGCGCGCGAACGATGTCGCCAGGCTTAAAAGACTCGTAAATCTTGACCTTGTCCTTTTCTGTTGCCCTCACGTCTTGCACTCTGATCACGCCCTGCCACTCTGTCTGCAAAACTGTGTCGCCAACTTGTTGAATTACTACAATAGCCTGCTTTGGCATCAATCGCAGGACACGCGCGAGGACAATGTTCTCGACGTCGGGCAGGATCTCGCGCTTGCGGCCATGGCGGGCAACGGAGATGGTAGCAAGCTCCTCTGTCGTCGGTGCAGTAATCTTGTTGAGACGCTTTTGAGGCCCGGGGTTCTTGGTTGGGGGTGTCACGGTGACTCGGCCAAGCAGAGAAGAAACGACATTGCCTTCGTAAACATGTGTACCGGCCCCGGACGCAAATTTGGTGACCGGGCCTAGGACATTGCCGGGCAAGGCAACGGAGGGAATGTCGTCGACAGCCATAACCCTCGATTTGGGTGCTTAGGTGAGCTTGCGGGAAAGGGTGTGAAGGCCTTGCTTTATTCGGGCTCCGCGTGGGCGAATATGCTTATTCACCGGAAGTCGTCAGCTCGATCTTTGCGGAATATCGGAGTTGGATTTTGGATGACGAAAGCTCAATTTCAGCCTTGCAGCAATGCAGTCTCATTGCATCTGGACTTTGCTGAAATTCTCCCAATCCATCGGGACGGGCTTTCAATTGCGGGGCCGACATTGGAGCTTGGGTGTTATGTAAGCGCCAAAATGGTGCTTAAGTCCCTGCCGACTAACTCCGTCCTGCACATACTCAGTCCGCCGAATCGGAGCCGAACTTTCATCCAAGAACACTATTCGACGACGAGTCTATCGGATCTTTATGTTCCTCCTCGCTTACACGATGCAATGCAGTAGTCCAGCTACTAAGAGATGCATGAGCGGGGAAGCGGCAAGGTCTTTTGGGCATGGCTTCGTCATGGAAGCAGGACAAGACCAAATGCTGAGCTACCAAACCTCGGATTCGAGGTCACCAGACCGGAGGACCGTTGTGCTGTGCATGGCATGACGAAGAGGTTATGCTGATTCACCGTCCAGACTCCCCCAGAGGCTCTGGTCCTAAGCCGATCATCAATTCGTCTCGAATGAGTTGGTCTAGATTCAAGCCATGGTTTTGGGTACAGTCAACAACGTGTTTACCGTTCATCGACCACGCTGAGCAACCACAGTTAAAAGTTTAGCTTGTAACATTCGACATGTTCGACAGTCAGTGCTAGACAGCCTCAACTTATACGAAGCGCATTACGCCCGTTTAAACGGACTGAACTGGCAACATCTCCCAACAACATTTGCCAACACAGGTGACTTGGCACAATACCACGCTCTATAACGCAGATGTTTTGTGCCTGCTGGAGTTCAAGGAATGGTTTCTAGTGCAAATAGTGGAGGTGGTTCCGCGCGGGTTCTCCACACCACACGCCCACACCCCTTGGCAAAAACTGGCTAATGAGAGGTACTTCGTTTTCGTTGGAAGATCCTAAAGGGAAATTTTGCTGGTCAGAGCTTACCTAGTATACGCGGAAACTGTACGAGTTTCCAAGAATGGTACTCGAGTTCCAGAGCGAGAGGCCGAGCCGAAGAGCATCCATGATGTTATTGTCGACGAACCGAGCCACTTTCGGCCCAGGTTTCTGTTTCCATTCAGTCGCTTCGTTTCTTCTCTGTTGTTTATAACCACTACATACAGAGTTGTCAGAGTCGATCCGGTGACTCATTGCTCGTTATTTCATCATGAGGCTCTCATAGCCGTCATCGAAACTGAAACGAATCCATCCTTCACGTAACCAGGCACCGGCCCCCTTGGCGCTATCTCCGCGTGGCAGGCACCCAGGTTTATTGCCGTAATCCGAATCTGTTGAAAATCTGTTCAAAAGGTCTTTGAAGGGCTGATTTTCCAGTGCTTTGTAATCCATTGGGTCCTTTGTTTGCTCTTCATCGACCATACAGCTGATGCAGCCACACCCACCCACACCCCTGTAGACGGAATCTTTTTGCTACTGTCATTTTGACGAGATTCTATTACTTTCCCGATTCGCCTTTATGCCCTTTCCCTTCTTCTTAAATCCTCATCTGTCTCTTGTGTCTTTTCTCATTTCACCACGCCAAGATCGACCTGTGGGCCGTCCATCGATCGTTTTTATTTCTTGGCAACCCATTGCGAGGTTGTATCGCGATCTCACAGACGAAACTTTATTGTTTCCGGCTCAATTCCGTCGCCTTTCTCTCACAGTGTCATTGACCTCACAGCGGTCTTATACAAAGTTGACATTGCTTGTGAGACTGTTTCTGGGTATCATTTAATATAGGCTTTAGTCGCCAGCCTCAGAGCTACCGCACAACCCATATCTGTTATCCAATATTCACGGGATATACGAGGTTTATACAACGCAAATATGCCTGACCCTGTGGACAAGGAGCTTCAGCCCTCTGATACTCAAGCAGCTTCTCTTTCCCCAACAAATTTCGAAAAGTCCAGCGACTCAGATGAGGACAAGATCAGGGAGTTTGGAGAGAAGGACGCCGAAAGAAGCGAGAAAATTGATGAAATCAGGGAGAAAGATGAATCAAGGCTTGCCGATCTCGAGGAAATCAAGACTGGCGCGACTGAAGCTTCAGCAATTACACCAACAACATCAGGAACTCAAGGTCAACGGAAGAAGCCATGGCATAAGAAATTGAATCCTCTTC